GTCTGTCTTAATCTGAATATTTACATTTAGAAGAGTATCTGACAGACAGCAGTTTGTGGAGTAGTGAAAGATAAATACCTCATTTTGGAGTTGACCATTAGTTACAGTGTAGTCCCTGCCCTTAGCCTAGTGCGTTGACCCACTTATTTCCCTGCTCCACCCTCTAGCATGATACCACTTCAGTTCTACCAAATGCCTTCAGAATTAATCTCCCATTGTCTGACCCATGACCTGACAGCTTGTCAGAGAGATTTTTTTTCTTCTTCCTGTGTCCAGTGTCTCTTAAGTTTACTTGTATTGTCTCCTCAGGGATGGTGATGGGTCCTGTAGAACTCCTGTATTGATTGTGTTTTTTCTTTTCCAACCGGTATAGTCTCCAGGTAACAGGCCCCAAGGCGGAGATTATACCGGTTGGGGAGGAACAGAGGGACCTGCCGCCTCCGGCAGACGCAGGACCAGAAGCAGCGCAGGCTCAAGCCAAGACCAGGCAAAGCAGAGGACTCCCACAACAGCTTCTGACACGCTTCCGGGTAACAGGCCCTAAGGCGGAGGGTCAGACTAGCAAAAAAAAAAAACAAACAAAAAAAAAAGGCAGAACTCATGCAGGGCAAGGGTCAAATGATACATTGGAACTGCTCACTATTTAAAAAAACAACAAACCAAAACACAAAAACTCTTTTCAGTAGTTGTAGTTAAGGTTCCATTGAGTCAAGAACAACTCATAGAGACTCTATGAATAACACATCTGAACCCTGTATTATCCTCTGCCAACTTTACTGTCTCTGACTTACTTGAGCTCATTGCTGCAATCACTATGTCAGTCCGTTTGGTTGAGGGTCATCTTCTCTTTCTCTGGTCCTCCATATTTCCAAACAAGGTGCTTATCTCTAAGGAATATTATGCCACTATTTTCTAAGGAATATCCTCTCCTAGCAACATAGGTTTTGTTTTTTTTTTTTATCCATACTCTGTGGGGGAAATGGCCTATCTAGGCCTTCAGAATTTTTATTTTTTCCCAATAAAACGACCTTGTTTTTACTCTTATTTTTATTTCCTCCCCTTACCTCATAACCATGACTCTAACAAATGCTTGGTCCACATAGAGACTTTTTCAGAGCACAATTAAACCAGAGGATTCCACAACAATTCTTTGTTTGGGCAAAGGGAACCTACTCTTTATATTCACCATTTTTATCAAAGGCTACCTCACTCCATATTCTCTAAAATAAGATTACTGGCAAGTCTGGTGTACTCAATTTTGTTTTCTTGTTCATAAGAAAATGTAGATTGTAATATCTTTACCTTAGTAGACCAATACTTTATTAAAAATTATTTTCCCAAAATTATTTTAATATAGAATTTATTTGTTATGTCCATGTACAGGAAAATATACTCCAATTCCATAATTTCTCTATGTCCCTTGTGATGGCACTGAATATATTTTTACAATTGCTCAACATTCTCATTTTCCATTTCTTAATTTTTTTCCTCCACTCTTAATTGAAAATTGTTGCTCTCTAATAAGCGTCCTCTTTGTTTAGTGTTCATAGGGTTTTAAAGAGCTTTTTATTTAGGAAGTAGACTAACCATCCTGCTTCCTAATCTGTCTTAATCAGAGAGCTCCCCAAAATCCATCCCCAATGGGAAACCCTTTTGGAATTTGGCACACCAGTGGCAAAGATTTTATTATCACAATAACTCCAAGTAATCACAGTACAGCAAACTAAGACAGACAAGTACTGCACCACTTAGAACAACTGTTCCCTCCAAATATAATCAATACCAGGCTTGAGGGCCACAGGCCTGAGTGCCCAACCAACTTTTAAATCCAATGGCCTGCCCACCAGATCCCGTTTGCATACACAAGAAGCTTCCCAACCAAGCTAATCGTAAACAAAATCAGATAGAATTAATCCATTTACACTTGATTGTTAACACAATTAGAAACACCCAAACAGTTTACTCCTGGATTTCAGGTAAATCAAGTAAAAGATTCTTACCACTGGACCAGTAGGCAGTGTCATGATGAATGGAGATGAGATTGAAACTGTCAACAGCTTCATCCTGCTTGGATCAACAATTAACACCCTTGGTATGTGCAGTCAAGAAATAAGGAGATGCATTGCACTAGGAAAATCTGTAGTTAAGGACCTTTCCAAATTATTGAGGAGTAGTGATGTCAGTTTGAGGACTAAGGGATGTGTGACTCAGGACATATTCTTTGTGATTACTTGCTATGCATCTGAGATCGCAACAATGAATAAAGATGACAGAAAAAGAATGGACACTTTTGAGCTGTGGTGTTGGAGAAGAGCATTGAACATCCCATGGACAGCCAAGAGAACAAACAAATATGTTTTGGAGATGGTGCAGCTGGAGTGCTCTTTGGAAGAAGAATGATTAGGCTTTGTTTTGTTTCACCTACTTTGGACATGTTGCTAGGAGGTGCTATTCCTTAGAGAGGGACAAGATACTGGGAAGGATGGAGGGTCAGTAAAGGACAGGAAGACCCTCAACCAGGTAGACTGACATGGTGACTGCTGCAATGGGCTCTTGTGCATCAGAAAGTGTGAGGATGGTACAGGACAGAACAGGATTCAGATCTTTTGTTCGTAGGGTCACTATGAGTTGTGCTCATCTCAATGACACCTAACAACAACAACAATAAGCTTCCAATCTAAATCTCAAGTTGCTAACGTGAATTTGATACTATTGTTAGGTGTGCTTGAATTGCCTGCCACTTAAACTCTCATGAGTTTTGCTATGCTATAATCTCTAGTTCTGTTGACAGTCCATCGTATGGTGGTGTTGTTAGATGTCATCAAGTGGCCTATGAACCTACAAACAGCATTCCCTATCTTGTGCCATCTTTATCATCTCTATTATGCTCAAATCCTCTGTTACAGTTATTGTGTCAGTCCATCTCATTGAGAGTTTACCTCTCTTTTGTTAACTGTTAACCTTTGACATCAGGATGTTATTTTTCCAGGAACTAGCTCTTCCTGACAATATACCCAAAGTATATGAGATTTGCCTTGCCTCTGATGAGTACCTTGGTTGTACTTCTGCCAAAATAGACTTGTTTGTTCTTTGGGCAGTCAATGGGTTTTCCAGTATTCTTTCTTATGCAAAAGCATAAATTTTTCTTCTGTCATCTTTATTCATGGTTCAACATCATGTACAGGAAATGGTTGAAAATACCATGACTTGGATAAAGTGCATCTTAGACTGATATTGCTGCTCTTTAACACTCTAGAGAGGTCCTTGACAGCAAAATTTCCCAATTCAACACATCAGTTTCTTAATTGCTATTAGCATGAGTGCTGATTATGAATCCAGGTAAAATTAAATAGTTGACAACTTCAATCATTTCTCCACCTATTATGATGTTGCCTATTGGTTTTCTTAATGTTGTTATTTTAAACCATGTACTAATCCTTTGTTCTGTTCAGAAAATTGATTCTTGGTCTACATAAAAGCTTTGCATGAAAACTATTAACTGTTCTTTGATTTCCATTCTTCCCAACATTATCCATAATTTGTTATGATCCACATAGTCAAATGACTTTGCATGATCAATAAAATACAAATAATTTCTGATTTTAGACAAAATTATTCAGACATTAATAATGATATCCATGGTTCCATGGCCAGAGAGATCATTTCTTTATCTTTGGCTTTCATGGTGGTGCATATATTTGAATAATGGTTTGCTGCATAAAGTAAAAAACTGTAGTCTTCAATATGGATTGAAGATCAACATCAAGAAGACAAAGATTCTCACAAGTGATAGTCCAGATAGAGAAGAGATTGAGGTTGTTAACAATTTCAGCTTGCTTGGATTCACAATCAATACTCTTGGCACAAGCAGTCAAGAAATCAAAAGATTAATTTCATTGGGGAAATCTGTTGTCAAGTACCTGTCCAAAGTGCTAAACAGCAATGATGTCAGTCTGCAGACTAAAGTACACCTGATTCAGACTATGATCATCACAGTTACTGAATATACATCAGGGAGCTAGACAATGACTAGGGAATGACAGAAGAAGAATCAAGGCCTTTGAGTTATAATTCTGGAGAAGGAAAGGATGAGACTAGGATGCTTCTTAGAGGCAAGGATTTTGGAGCTCCTTCTCACATACTTTGGACATGTCGCCAGGAAGGACCAGTCCTTGGAGAAGGACATCATGTTTGGAAGGGTGGAGGGGCAGCACAGGAGAGGAAGATCCAGAGTGAGATGGATTGACATAGTAAATAGGGTAATTGGGGTAGGCGTGTTGGAGACAGTAGGATTGGCTTAGGATAGGGAAAGGTTCAGAGCTGCTGAGTGTAGGGTGATGATGAGTCGAGTCACAGTTAATGTGATTGCACACAACAATAAGAACAACAGGTCTTTCTAGTATGCATATAAATAGTTTCCTATCACGTCATTGTACTTCAGACTTGTTTGTTGTTGTTGTTGTTATGTGCCGTCGAGTCCTTTGCGACTCATAGCGACCCTATGTACAACAGCCCTAAACCCTGCTCTGTCCTGTGCCAATCGCATTGCCTCTGACACACCCATCCCGATTACCCCAGTCACTGAATCAATCCACCTCATAGAGGGTCTTCCCCTCCTGCACTGTCCCTCCACTCTACCCAGCATGATGTCCCTCTCCAAAGACCTGTCTCTCCTTACAACATGTCCAAAGTATGTCAAACGAAGCCCCAGAATCTGTGCCTCCAAGGAGTAGCCTGATTTAACCCTCTCTAGGATGAATCTGTTTGTTTTCTTGGCAGTCCATGGTACATTCAATACTCTTCTCCAGCACCACAGCTCAAAGGCGTCAATTCTCCTTTTATCCTCCTTGGTCATTGTCCAACTCTCTGATGCATAACAAGTGATTGCAAAGATCATGGCCTGTATCAAGCGCACCTTAGTTTCCAAAGAGATACCGTTGCTCTTGAGTACTTTAGAGAGGTCCCTAACCACAGACTTTCCCATCGCAATACATTTTTTTATTTCCCGCCTGCTGGTGCCAAGAATGTTGACCCTGGAGCCGAGCAAAGTGAAGCTGTGAACAATCTCAGTCTCTTCGCCATCCATCCTGATGCTACCGATTGGTCCAGTGGTGAGACTCTTTGTCTTCTTGACATTGAGCCTCAGTCCATACTGAAGGCTGCAGTCCTTACCCTCTTCACTAAGTGCATGAGGTCCTCTTCAGTTTCAGCAAGCAGGGTTGTGTCATCTGCATAACGCAGATAGTTGATAGATCGTCCACCAATCCTAACGCCACACTTCTCCTCCTACAACTTCAGACTAGGTCTTGAAATATTCCTTTCAACTATGAATGTAGTTGTTAATAAGTGGATGCACTTATTTTTGAGTTCTCTATTCTGTTCCATCAGATTTTTAATGTATCTTTTGTTTTACCAAAATCATATTCTTTTGATCACTGTAGCTGTGTAATCAGTTTTAAGATCAGGAAGTATAAGGCTTTCCATTCTGTTTTTCTTCTTTAGTAGTGCTTATTTAGGATCCTGTTCGTTTTCATATAATGTTGACAATGACTCTTTCTGTTTGAAAAATAATGATGGTAGTAGCTTGATTTGGATTCCTCCTAGGAGATAATTTTTTATTTGTTAAGCTGAATTATTAATTTTAAGAAGACTTTATGGGATATTTTTCATTTAAAGTTTAATAATATCTCAGAGCAATTGTTTCACAGGTTCATTCAACCTTTATTGTTCTAGGAATAGAATTCTGAAATTTTTAAGAATTTAAAATTTATTTTGCATTTACTATCTTCCCCTCCCCATTTAACATCTTTAATGAGAATTCTTTTGATAAATATATTCAGTAAAAAATGGTAACCAGGACCACTGTCTTCTGATCTATGGCAAAGAAGGAAATTTTTCATGGAGGTAATCAGTTACACAGTCCATTTCATCCCCCTATTCTTGACTCTCCTTCCTTTGTTATTTCAGGGAAAGAGACCAATTGTTGTGACTTGGATGATTGATTGCAAGTTTGTAAGGTCTCAGACACTACACATTGAACTAAGAGGTAGAAAAGGATCACTAAACATGTTATTA